TTTACACTCTTTATACAACGTAGTACTATTTTATTCTCAGTAGCCGAGGGCTATTGTTTGAAACAGAAAAGGGTGTAATAAATGTTTTAAAGCAGGGTTTCCCAAACTTTTCTGATAAGAGGTAAAGTTGGTTTTATATTAACACATTCGTTCATTTAGCAGTCTATATATTGTTTACCATGTTACTTTGAACATTTGATCGGAATTAGCATGCAAGTATGACTTGAAAACAACATTAACACTGTTTATTTGACTCTGAACAATGTTGTACTTTGATAGTCATTTGCTTCTAATATGATTTCGCTATTTAGAGCTTGCAAATAATACTTTAATGAAATTATATCATTAAGGGGAAAGTCCGAATGTGCGAATATAAAACTGATTTTACCTCTATTTTTAAAGAAATGTTTTACCTGATTTCTTTTTGATAATTAAAAGAAAGTCAAGTTAAAAGCAAGTGTTAAAGAGAAGTTATTTTGTTTCTGTTCATTGATTTATTTATTTTAAACAGGACATTTTTATTGTTTTGTTCATTTTAAACAGGACAAAGTGTCAAAACGCAGAGAAAAACTCCTGCTGAAGTGACTGATCTCCACACTGTTATAAAGATGGCGTTTATTAAAGAGAAGAGTGAAGATGTGAAGATTAAAGAAACATTCACAGTCAAACAGGAAGATCTGCAGGAACAAACAGGTTGGTTTTCATTCTCAAAGACCAACTCAGTCATTTGATCCTCATTTTAGATATATTTTAATAAGAAGAATACTGAATTAAATCCATCTTGCAGCCCTGAGTGTGCTGCCTAGTTCTCCTAAATGCACATAAGCACTCATTAAAAGACAGAATGAGTTTCTTTCGTTACTTGTTCTCATGTCTTTTGTCTTTCTTTTATGTGTTAATAGTCTCTCATTTTCTCTACCTTCTTAAGGTTATTGCTTTTCTTGTTCTTTTACTGTTTGTGAAGCATCCTTGGTGCTTTATAAAATAAATAAAAACAATAAATTAATAAAAGGTTTAACTAAGCTGATGATATTTGACCTACAGTATTCTCATAACAGACATAACATTTTAGGCCTTAAAAAGTAATAAATTTACTGAAATATTGTGCTGTATTGGGTCTTTTTTTTTCTTTTTTTTTCCTTTGTTCATGTTTTTCTACCCAATCTGGACAAAACCAATTCAATCACCAACAATTCAACTTAATAAAACTTTCAACTTTTTATTCAAAAAGGTCTTTTTAACTCTATTTATCATAATGGTTTAATTATTTTCCTCACAATAACATTTGTTTAAGCGTGCTCTATGTATTTACTGCTGTGGATATTAACCTGGACAGATTGTTGTGCATAGATTTAGTTTGTTATAGTTTTTAAAACTTTAAAAACATTTGTTCATTTTTTAGTTTTAAAAATAAATTTTATTTTGATGGGGCAAATAAAAATCTTTTCCATCTGGGCCATTTGAAAAGTTCTTTAGCCCTTTATGAGTCTAAAATTTCATTCATGATGGTCTTAAAAATATCATAAAGTCTTAAATTTAACTTTGTAAAACCTGCAGAAACTCTGGTTTACAGTATGTCAAAAAATGTGGATGCCCCAATATTGAGCATGCTGAAAGAAATGGACACTAAAATAATTGATTGTTATAAAATATTTTACAGTCGCAGAATATAGACCATATTCTTCATGCACCAGCAGGCGGCGCCATTGGAATCTTTTTGCTTGAGACTTTTTTAAAGAATAAATTTTTAGATCCTAAATATCAGTGTTATGCTGCTGAGGCATGGGGCAATAACTATATTCAAGGTTTACCGCAGTTTGGAAAAGTCAAGGTTTTAAAATCGCCAACATTTCCTGCTGCACCGCTCCTAAAGTATATGTAAGTTTTTAATGTTTTGTTTTTTAGGACAACAGTATCTCCTGCAGTAAAGACCAAAGCGGCTGTTTTAAATCGTAAAGAAATCTGTGATTCATTTCAATTATTTAGCCTGAGATGTTTACTGCTCAAAAATATTTTAAAAGTGTCTCAGAAGAAAATATATTTTAGGATATCATACTGTCAGAATCTTATACTGGCCCATGCCTAATGCTGCTTGATGTTGCAAAGTCATATTTTCTCATTTAATTATTTTTATTTGTATGTATAGCCATGAACACACCTGTTTGTAGAGCAAGTAGTGTGACTGTTTTCTGCAGTTTATTATTTCTGGTCAAAATAATACCAAAATCCACATCGTAAAAAAATAAAAAAAGAATAATAATTATAATTCAAAAGCAAATCAAAAAGAGTATAGGCTACATTAATATTTGCAAAGAAAAAGAGTTGTTTGAGTGTATTTAAAGTTCTGGTTGCTTTTTATCTTAAACATTCTTTAAGGGTTCTTTCTGACTATTTTTGTGTATGTAATTTCCTAAGTTAAGTTAAAGTTAAAAGATAAAGTTAAAGTTAAAAGATTTAACATAAAATAGTTCTTATATTTTTATATAGTCTATTAATATAAACTAATATTTTGTATAACACATTTTCATTATTTAACAGATTTAATACCTCTATTAATCAAATTCTTTCTATTTCATCAGCTTTGAAATAACCAGATTCCTGATACATATGTTTCTGAATTTTATTTTGTAAGTTTCCTTGTGTGCTATACCAGCATGCAGAGAGTTTTGTGTGTGTGTGTGTGTGTGTGTGTGTGTTAATTTGGGTGTTTATCCAAGGATCAAGTTTATGATCGGATCGAATTTATATTTCTGTGCATGTGTATGCATGCAGTAGGTTTATATATGTGCAAGTGTCATACTTGTTTTGAACATAGTATATGTTTACATGTGTATATTCATGTGTAGACATGCGAAACCCTACACTGCGCCTCATAGCCTTCTGTGTTTGGTGTCGGGAAGGTGGATGGTGAGGCGACAGGTTGACTTAAACTTTTATGAACCTATTTGATGTGTTTACGATGCTAGTCGGCATCGCTCTCCCGCACAGTTTGCAGAACGCCGAAACAAAAGGTTTATCGGAACTTAAAAAGCCGAACAACGTCCACATCAACTACTTTGTCTGCATTCTTACTTGTGGAAGCTTGTTCCTCTATATCTGTATTCAGGTCGCTCATTTTCTAGCTTTCTGTGACAGAGCAGCTTAACCAACTTCTGAGCACCTTCATCACGCAAGTGACATCACACTGATTCTGAGCACGTAAAGTAATTTAGTGACAAATGATACAAGGTAGAAAATCTTATATATAGATAGATAGATAGATGGATAGATATGATAAAACATATGTAAAACATATACACAAATGTATCGAAATATTGGAAATGGGTTTAAAAATCATTTCACCGTTATTGAAAAAAATCTATCGCTATATATTGATATTATATTATTGTCCAGGCCTACGTTAGATATAGAGAACAAGATTAATTAAATATCACTTTTAGAGATTAGATCCAGCGTAACTCGTAACATCAAAAAGGAAAAAACATTGATAAATTAACCCACTTCTCATTTACTAGTCTGTTATGAGCCATATCATACCTCTTGAGCCTCCGATCTCCTCCTGATTTGGAGTTTCTGTTTGTTTTTTGAAAATGTAATTGTCTTCAAATCTGAAAATGTAATTTATTTTATAGTGTGAGTTGTTATTCGATGTGATACGAAGCTGCAAGCATGTTCTTTTGGACAGAATTTTTAACTAAGGTGTAATGTTGTCCAGATACTGGAATTTCTGACTTCATTACCTTGCTATATATTGATGTTCAATAGGCTACTATTTTTTAAATAACAACAATTGTATCAAAAATGGTACAAAAAAAAATTCTAAAGTAGAAAAATTATTTCTTAAGTTTTTTTTTCAGTTTTCCTCAAAATAGGTTGATGTGGGCATTGTGGCACTTTAAATGCATGTAATGCCTGTTTCATTTACACTTGAGCAGAAATTCCATATATGCCTCACAAAAAAGTAGCAGAACATTCCAGGAAATCCCTAATATGGATGAAGGCATCCAGCTATTGCTGTTGAATGAAAATAAGATCTGAATAAATATTAAAAGGCTTCAACTGATCATTTACACGCCTGCGCCCATAAATGGTTTATATGTGTACTTCCAGCCATCTTAGGTATATTTATAAGAAAGTCGATTTATAATTTAATGCTAACTGACGTAGCATGTTACAGTAGAATATAGCTATAAAATAATATGCTAGATGCTAGATTATGTAAAAATAAAATGTTTCCAAATATCAATCCGTTTGCTAAAACACAGAAAGTTTTGACCAAATTGATCCACAAAATCAACCCAGAATGGATGAAAATGACCCAACAGCACACAAGGGGAAAGGTGCATATTTCAGCCTTTATGCAGATGCTGTACAGGTATGTCTCATGTTTGCGAGACAAATGTTCAGCTGTTTGTTCAACTGTTACCTCAGAACTTTTTTTTCCCGATGCGTTTACCAGTCAGGCACAGAATGAACAAGTATTCCCTGTCTGCTTTACAAATTTTAGAAAAACGTTTTGTTGTAATTCTGAACATATACAAATAAAAATAGGCTTTTTACAGCTTTCAAATCTGTGTCTTATCAATATGACTAAAATGACTTTTATGAGAAACTCTGAAAACTGGACTGACACAGTTTCAATTTACTAGAACTTCTAAGTTAAGTGGCTTCAGCACAATTTACATTGTAAAAGCACTAGATGAAGATGAATTGAATCTGCTTAAATGTGTACACGTTAATGGACTAAACAAAATATGATCTGATTTATTTTACATTTAATGTGCATCAAACTTACAGTGTGTAGCCAATGTTTCCAGTGTCTTTTCACCTTTACGCTTTTGATGAGAGTTTTAAGACTTAATGAAAACTAATGTTTTATTTATTTCAGACCTAATTGAAGAGAATGAGAGGAAAGAGGAGGAACATCATGTCAAAATTGAGGAAAAAACTCATTTACAGACTGATGGTATTTTGAAAAGGAGAGACAAGAATCGTCTCACCTGCACTCAGTGTGGAAGGAATTTTGGAAGAAAAGGCGATCTTAAGATTCACATGAGGATCCACACTGGAGAGAAACCATTCACATGCACTCAGTGTGGGAAGAGTTTCAGCAAATCATCATCCCTTAATCAACACATGAGGATCCACACTGGAGAGAAACCATTCACATGCACTCAGTGTGGGAGGAGTTTCAGCCAATCATCATACCTTAATAAACACATGATGATCCACACTGGAAAGAAACCATTCACTTGCACTCAGTGTGGGAAAAGTTTTAGGCAATCATCATCCCTTAATTACCACATGATGATCCACGCTGGAGAGAAACCATTCACATGCTCCCAGTGTGGGAAGAGTTTCAGTTGCTCATCTCACCTTAATAAACACATGATGATCCACACTGGAGAGAAACCATTCTCATGCACTCAGTGTGGGAAGAGTTTCAGACACTCATTATTTCTTAAACAACACATGATGATCCACACTGGAGAGAAACCATTCACATGCACTCAGTGTGGGAAGAGTTTCAGCCAATCATCATCCCTTAATCACCACATGAGGATCCACACTGGAGAGAAACCATTCACATGCACTGAGTGTGGGAAGAGTTTCATACAATCATCACAACTTAACCGACACATCATGATCCACACTGGAGAGAAACCATTCACATGCACTCAGTGTGGAAAGAGTTTTAGCCAATCATCAAACTTTAATCAACACATGATGATCCACACTGGAGAGAAACCATTCACATGCACTCACTGTGGGAAGAGTTTCAGCAAATCATCATCCCTTAATGAACACATGACTATCCACTCTGGAGAGAAACCTTTCACATGCACTCAGTGTAGGAAGAGTTTCAGTTGCTCATCTCACCTTAATCACCACACGAGGATCCACACTGGAGAGAAACTATTCTCATGCACTCAGTGTGGAAAGAGTTTCAGACGCTCATCATCTCTTAAAGAACACATGAGGATCCACACTGGAGAGAAACCATTCACATGCACTCAGTGTGGAAATCGCTTCAGCCGATCATCAAACCTTAATCAACACACGATGATCCACACCGGAGAGAAACCATTCACTTGCACTCAGTGTGGGAAGAGTTTCAGCCAATCATCATCCCTTAATCAACACATGAGGACCCACACTGGAGAGAAACCATTTACATGCACTCAGTGTGGGAAGAGTTTCATACAATCATCACAACTTAACCGACACATGAGGATCCACACTGCAGAGAAACCATTTACTTGCACCTAAGCCACGGTTACACTGGACCTTTCTCCCCATAGACTTCCATTCATATGCACGCAAATGCGTCAGACTGTGAACGAAAGTTTGTGGGTCAAGTTTTGCAGTTCACTGCGTTGCAGAGTTCAAGCTTGGTAAACTCTGACCTGCGAAATCGCATTACTTGACTGTGTGAGACCAATCAAAGATCAAAACATGACCTTTCTGGACAATCGCTCACTTTTTTTAATGTCTAATCATCTTGTTTAATCCCGCCCCTTTTCGCAGCGCCATACAACAAAATGTTGCATGCTCAAACTCTAGTGTGACCGCAGCTTCGGTGTGGGATGAGTTTCAGCAGCTCATCAGAAATTAACCTGTTAAGCTTTTGGGCTATTTTGGGTATTTCCGCCTGAATTTGGCCTTCCGATTTAAAAAGCTTTCCATAACCACATGCATAGGAATAAATACAAAACTTTGGTATCATTTTAAAAGAAATCCTTTGAAATTTCATAAAATACTGTTTTATATAAACTGAAGTTAGAAAATGTGGAACTCAGGCCTTGTGTGCTTCATCAAAATTCCATTTTTTTCCAGCAGGTGTCAGTAAACACAAGAAAAATAAATTTCTCTCTATAATGATGCATTCAAGAGTTATTCTATTACAACTGGAAGAAGGTAACATGTCAAAAAAAAAGTTTTTCCCCCTACCTAAATTTAAAGTCTCGCCACACCCACATACAGTACAATAAATGCAATATCTTAATGTCATTTTAAAGAAAACCCTTTGAAATTACATAAAACACTGCTGTTAAATGCTAACTATTAATATATATGTTGTCTGTCCTATGTTGAACCACCTCAACACAAACAGCTTTGTTTTTTTTTTTTTTTTAAAGCCAGCCTTAGTGCATAACTCAGGCCCTGTGTGCTCTATAAAACTGAGGACAGTTTTTGTTTGTTACCAGCATATGTCAGGACACACAAGAAAAAAGAATTTTGTCTTAATCATGTAGTATGCAAGAATCATTTTAGTTCAACCGAAGGGTGGGAAAAAACAACACAAGTTTCTTACCTGTCAAAAGTGAAAAACAAGATATTACAAGGGTTATTATCACAAAAATCATAATTTTACTTCTTCATAACCACATCAAAATCATAACAATATATCAAAAAAGCAAATAGCCCAGTAAGACTTTTTTTCCATTTTATTTTTCAATGTCCAAACGGCCTTCACACTTTAAATGTAAAATAAATAATGTACAAATATATATAAACTGCAATAATATATATATATATATATATATATATATATATATATATATATATATATATATATATATATATATATATATGTGTGTGTGTGTGTGTGTGTGTGTGTGTGTAAAATTTTTTTTTAGAAAAGTAATGTGCAAAGTCTAACAAAAGATTTTGAAAAATGACATAGTTAAATAATAATAGTTAGCTAATAATAGTTAAAAAAAAATGTCATTTTGTAAATACGTTATCGTATTGTTTTGAATTTTGGAATTTCATGACCCAAATTTATTGCATTTGGCACTTAGAAGACATAGCAGGGGATTACTCATTCATACAATAACAGAAAAAGCTGAAAATGGAGTAATTTTGTTGCGAAGAACCTAAGGTAAAGGATGATGTAGCTTGTTTGGCTATCTGGAACAGCGCACGGAGCAAATAGACAATAATTGCCCTTGTATGTTTATAAAATAGGAGTTCATACCTTATGATTTATTCAAAGACTGTTGGACAAGTGACTGTAAATTGTTGTGGTAAAAATATTCTGGTCTGCTAAATATTCAACTCGTAGCTGTGCATTTATACTTCTGCGCGCTGTCTCTGTTGGTCTGCATTAACACTTCCGAAACGCTAGTTGGCAGTGAGGTGTAAATGTTCCTCTATGTCAGGTTTCTTCGCTGGTGCTTTGTTTTTTCTGACCACTTCCTGAATCTACAAGTGACTCAAACTCGCTCTTTTTGAAGCACAAACCGGCGGACGTGCAACAACTTTTCTATAAGGTAAACATAAAACAAAACTTTTTATCTGGAGCTTCCTCACGGGACTCCACACTTTTAAACAATCGCTCTATTGGGCTCGCGCGGCTCTCAGTCCCGACCAGACTCGTCAGCGCTACTAAGCCGACCAATCACAGAGCTTGCGCTACACGTCGTTGCGATGTGTAGTTACATTTTTTGAGAGGTGCACGTCAGCGACATCTACGACCACGGCGTAGGGCTATGCTTTAGCGCCGTAGCATAAGCATGGGCTTGACGCAGAAGTATAAATCAGCCTTAAGAGGGACTATATCAGAAGAAAGTCTCTTTTCTAACCCTTAACCGCAATGCAGCATAAGGTACCAACATATCAGTACAATCAACCTCACTAATGCAACAAAAAGTTGCCTTTCACAGTCTTTACCAAATGTCAACATCCATATGTTGCACTCCAGTGGAGAGGCGGAACCAAACATCTCCCCCTTTCAAGAGTTCCCACTTAGATATGCTTGGCACTTATAGCAGGTTTGGCATGCTGTCCCGGGAGAGAACCCTGAGCTCGGAGATATTTGAGCCCAGGGCTCCCGCCCGGTCTAGAAGCATATCAGGAGAACCGAGATCAGGTAGGTCTCGATCGCTCCCCAAAAAATGCCTCCAGCTCGGGACAGCAGCCGAGTATTTCAAAGAATTTCCCCCAAAATGCTAGAAAGTTTTTACTATATCCGGCTGCTGGATATAGAAATTAAGGAATGAAGAAAGAGTAGGGGGCTCCAGTTGGAGCAAAGTTTGAAACTGACTCCTGTGGAAGCCAGAGCGGGGGAAGGGGTTGGGGGGAGACTAGTGAAGGGGGGCCATAAGGGGTGGGTGGGGTTGGCTCATTAAGAGTCAAAAATATGCTCGAGGAACACTCCAAACGGAGATAGAGCAGGGAAGTGGCAGCGCTATATATGAATATATATGTATATATGAGAGTATATAAATATATATATATATATATATATATATATAATGGGGTAATCTAAGGCCTGGAAGGGTGATCAGGAGACTTCTGTGAGTCGGAATGGGCGCTGCGGGAGTTGGGTGCAGCAATTTTTTATTTTATTTTGCCAGTGACTGACCCCTGCGGGGGTCGGTGCCCGGGGAACAGGGCAAGCTGGCCTACTCTAGCAGGAGTCTGGGAATAGGGGATTTGGACAGTGAAGATTCCTGTTAGAGGGTGACGGGATGAGTTAGGTGCTCGAGGAACACTCCGTTAGGAGATGGAGCGGGGGAGTGACAGCGCTATTATAAATATATATCTATGTATAGGTGTATATATATATATATATATATATATATATATATATATATATATATATATATATATATATATATATATATATATATAAAGATTGCTAAGGCCTGGAAGGGACGGTGAGACGACCCCTGCGGGGGTCGTAGCTCGGGGTAACACTTCTGCGGAAGTCAGAGCTTTAGGGGGGGCGGGGTCCGGCAGGAGTCGGGAAATGGGAGGGGGCTGTGAAGACTCCAGCGGAAACGGCCAGGGTGGCGGGGTGACGGGGGGCTTGGATGAAACTCCAATTACCTATGTGGCTGGGGGAGAAAACTGAGTGTTACTCAGGCTAGAAGAAAAAAAAAAGAAGGTAAGGTGGCTGGGTCACACCCTCGCCCTTGAGTGGATGTGGGATTATGGCTGACAAGAGCCATCTGGGCTTCTTTGGGGGGGCCAGTGGCTAGGACGCATGTCTTGAAGGCATCAGGTGACCACCTTCCTAGGATCTGGATTTGTTGCTGCCCTTTGTACTTCTGTGATGGCTGCTCATATTCTGAAACATAGTATACAGGAATAAGAGAAGTAATTCAACACCTTTAATACTTTTTCCACACATTTAAAGACCTTATCACCACTTTCAATCAAAAATGCTGGCAAGATTTATCTTACGGAATATTTACTAAATATTAAAATGTAATAAATGAATCTAACTAAACATTCAAATACAGAAACATGTATATTAAAATCTAGCCGATTCGACAGGTTGTCACCTATACAGCTGCAGACCAGCTGCAGATAGTGTTGCAGTAAACAAGCGGCAAGCTGTCAAACCTTAGTAGAATTTTACTGATTACGTAACTACCTAGTATCCTGATATTCACAGCTTGAATACAGTCGAACTTTAGCATACGATGATACCTTGTACAACAATAAATGTATTACCTTGTAAAGGAATCTAAGACTTTCTAATACTTTAAAGGCCCTCAAACTGCTCTATATTGACTTATCAGCCCCCAACACCTTCTGATACTCCACAGACACCCTGTGTAAGAGTGACTGGGAGTGGATCTAGGGGAAACCTGTGGAACAAAGAACTGCTATAAGCATCTCTAAATCAGAGTCGTGTGACAGGGTGGTTTGTGTCATCTATACATGGGAAGAAGAGGGGAAGCGGGGGTTTGCAGAGGGAGAATGAGGCTCGGCGGAGCGACTCTGCTATAGCGGAAGTACAAATGCTAGTCCGCATTGGAGTGTTATGAGTGCTAAATATTGTCAATAGTGATATGAAGAGTAAATGGGGGGGGGGGGGATATGTGAATATGGTATCAAGGGTGTGGGCTGTATGGGCGGAAAGTATCTTTGCGAAGACTGTAAATGCATTAGGAATGGATGAAGAGTGTGATGGGTTGAATGAGGGCAGTTTCAGGAGCTGGCAGTCTTGAACTCTAAAATGGAAAACAAGAGAGAATTAGAAATGAAATCTTAGCAACGTGGCACGTGTACAGCAGACATGATTAATTGTATTGGCTGATATTCGTGGGAGGAGTCTTCATAAGCGTATGGATGATTGTGAATGGAAGCGCCTTTGTTAATGCATGTTTCAATACTTAATGTCACAATGTGCCAGGGTTGTAGAAGTGTAGTTTATTGTACTAATTTTACCCATTAGTAAAATAAAGTTCACAACATCAGAGAAAGAACAATGTAAATCAGCTTTGTAAAATAAAATATCTTCTAGAACAATA